CAAATTATTTTTTTTAATTTTTTTTTACAACACATCAAATTTTTTTTTTTTAATTTTTTTTTACACCACACCAAATTTTATAAAAAATTATAAAATAAAATTTTTTTATTTAATTTTCCACATTAAATTTTATATTTTATTTTTATATATATATTTATATGTATTTTTAATCTCTACACCATGAATTGTAATAATAAAAGAAAAAATGGAGATACAACAAATAATAACACAGATAATACTAATAGCAATAATAATAATGATAATTCAATATCAAATAAAAAATATAAAAGTACTGATGGTTCAGAATTTGATAATACAAATACATCAACAAATACACCCAGTTTGGTTTTTACATCAAATAAAGAAAACGATAGCACCAATGAAATTAGATTTTGGAAGGTATTTAGAAATAAATATTTATTCAATATAATATTTTCAAATTTCAAATTCAACCAGTTATTCAATTATGATGATTTAAACGATTGCCATCATATTTATAACAAATTTAGTAATGGAGAAACAATTATTAGAGATAAAGTAAAAAGTGGAAATTATATAATTAGAGATTTTAATGCAGAATTTATCGTTAGTGTATTCACCAAAAATACCCAAGAGAACAGAGAATTCTATAGAACACTATTTTCAAATGGTTTAGGAACATTCAGAAACTATTTTATATGGGTACAAGCATTTGTGAATCATTCCAATAAAACCGCATTTCTCGAATACCTCAAAAATTTTAAAATAGATAAAACTAGTTTTTTTGTAAGATCAATGAAATCCAGTAAAAGCATCTTTAAACAAGTAAAGATGGAAGATGCTTTAAAATCAAATGGTTTTCATTTTTTTAAACCGAAATCAGTATTTGATGTAATTAGGGAATTTCAATTTTCACAAAAATTAAAAAAGCTCATAAATATTTACATTTATTGTATCCATGAAAATTACCAACCCAAAACAAAACACAATTATTTACTGGAACAACTAAATACCCAATTAATAACAATTTTATCTGATAATATACATTTAAACTCAACTATTCACACAATAGCACAATCAAAAGATAAATTTTTAATACAAACAACATACCTCACACTCAAAATTATATATTCAATATTTGCTGAAAGATGCCAATCATCTCTTACTAAACCAACTAGTTATCATATATACTTTAGAGACAAGTCTAAAGCCGAAAAAATTTATGCAAAGAGAATAGAATCTTTGAACTTGTCTGATGAACCACTCACAGTTATAAAAAGTGATGAATGCATTGAATTTCAAATGAGCCTAGTTAAATCACTACACACAATTTCTCGTAAAACCAAGGTTGAACAGGCCATTTTTTCAAGCAATAATTTGGAACCAATCTATCTCATGTTTAAGCTTTACAAGGATGACTTATACGGTAATTTTTTTAGATATCTAAGATTTATTACAAAAACCGAGATATTGGACTACATCTTCGATAACCATCAAGAATTAATGTTTAGTGACAATAATCCACTTTGGATATACACCAACAGCAAAGTTATGGGCCATTTCGAAAATTTAATGAAAAGTATTTCAAGAAAATTTTTAATTAAATCCAATTTAACTATAACAGACTTGGAAAATACTCCAAGTAAAGATTTTTTCGAAGGCTTAGAAAGAGCAGTCGACAATCCAACAGTTTATATATTTGAAGACAATAAAAATTATCCCCAAAACTCTATAAATAGATATAATTCATATTTTATAAAATTGACCAATTTAACACAGGATTCTGCAATATCATTGTTAGAAAAGCACATAAAAAAATATGGAATTTCAGAATACTTTGATATTGAAAATTTTTTAAAAAATGAACTCCATCAATCCTATAAACTCATATATTGGATCTTTCAAGACCTTACGGATGAATATATTCAATCAAACTTAACAAAAAAAGAATTGATAATTAAGTCTGGTATTAACACAACAAAAAATCAAAAGTATGAAATTAAAATTAAACGTTTTATTAGTTGGGAAATGCTTTTATACTATTGTGGCCGTACAAATATTTTATTTCAAAACTTTAATTCACAGTTAAAAGAAGAAATATTCACAGATCTACTTGAAAAAAAATTTAAAGTCGGTGTTTTTTTAAATTTACTTGACCATTTATCATATTCAGATTTCAATAGTGAAAATTTTAAAAATTTATTAAATAGAGCAGCAGATTTTGGAGTAGTTCGAGTTTTCGAAAAATTTTCGATTTTTAATTACATGTTTTTTTATGAAATAAAATATAATCAATATAATTATATTGATTATCCTCCTAATCCCCGAGTGCAAAGTTTTCTCAATGACAGCTCTTTTAAACAAAACTTTAGTTTGAACGATAAAAGATATTGCTGTTTAATAAGATATTCAAATAAAGTAAAAACAAATTATTATTAAACTAATTGATAATTTTAAATAATATTATATCAAAATTTGTTTTTATTTTTTTGTTTATAAATATTATTATTGTTTTTTATTTTTTTTTTTTATTTTTATTTTTTTTTTGTTTTTATTTATTTGTATAGAGTTCTTTTAATTGTCTCTTTAAAATTTGATTGAGTTTTAAGTGTTAAAAATAGAACCATATTTATTATTTTTTTTAATTTATTTTTTTTTCAAATTATTTTTTATATTTTTTATTTAATTGTGGATATGTATTTTTTATATTTCAGTTCCAAAAATCCCAAATCCCAAATTATTTATTATTTATAATTAAATTTGAGCGCAACATTACAAACTTCATGGAGGAACACCTATGACATTTACATTTAAATCTAATATGAATTTTCTTTATGGCTTGTACCTTGATTTGAATAACCATTACTTCACATACAACAAGAACCTCTTTCTTTTTTCTTTTCATCAATTTTAACATGAATGAGTTTTGAGAATTTTGACTGCATTTCTTAATAATGTATTTCTAGTGAATGTTGTATTTTACTCTGTGGATTTAACATTTTGTTGCATCTACAAATTGTGATTATAATTGTATAAATGTATGTATCTTGGTGAATTGATTGGTTTAGTTGTGTATTTACCAGTGCTTTTATCTTTAACTCTTGAATCTTTGAAGGTCCTCTTTCTTTTCTTTATATTGGCCTTGAATCAAACATCTTTTTAACATTACAATTCTATTGCTGTATATTCACTATTTTAATTTTGATTTTCTAAAGCTGGTTTTTATAAAGCTAAACAATGAACCAAAGTCGAACTCGAATTCAAACCCAAACTGATTATGAAGAAGATATTATCTATATAGCTTTATCCATACCTCTTTATAAGCATCAACAACCTCTTTACCATTGATTAATAGTTTACCTGTTATTTTGCCAGTACTCTTACGCTCTGCTGTGCGGCTTGGTTGCAAATCCATCATTATTTTTCTAAGCCACAACCAATTGATACTCTACGTTTTTAGTTACAAATCCATCATTAATTTTCTTAGATGAACCAATCTCAGGTCTAGATTCAGTAACCACATTATCAATTATGAAAACACTATTAGACCTTGCTTTTTATATTCACGTAGTAAAACATTGGTATTCATAAACTTTATATCTTTTAATTGCTTTTGGGATAATGTAGCACCTGAAGGATAATATTCAATATCTTTAGTCCGTTCCGAACGAGACTTTTGATTTCCAATTTCATCTTCATCTTCATCTTCATCTTCATCTTCAAGTTCATCTACTTCATTATCGGTTTCTTCTGGATCTGATTCTAAAACAAAAACCTTCATCAATATCTAAATCATTATCCCAATAATCATTATTGCTAGTGTCTATAATTGATTTATTTATGTATTTATACTGAACCATTAGATTATTGATTATTTCTACCAACTTTACTTCACTATCAAAACTGATTGATAGTTTCTCTGGATTGTATACATCAATTTGACAACTAATTAATTTCTTCTTTATAATTTCTTTAAATAACTTGCTAATTGTAATAATTGATCTTTCTATTAACCTTATTATACCTTTGATTTTATTATTGTTATAAAAAAACTTTGTTTTAAAAAAAAAAGAAAAAGTAAAAACAACACTAATAAAATATTAATTATTTCAATACACAATTATTTTAGTAAAATAAAAATGATTTCCTCTCAAAATTGGTCACTTGGAGGGGACACAGATGCAACTTTTATATGATAAGATATCGAAATTTTTTTACATGCAATTTTAATGTGTATTTATTTACAAATTGGTGTGATAAATAATTTAATATGGGCATTAAAAGATTTTAAAAAGAAATAATACAAATAAAAATTACAAAAAAACAATGAGAGGAAATGTGTATCTAGATACATGAAACAAATATTTAAATATTTTAATTTTTTTTATTCATATATTATATTTATATAATAAAGTTTGATAGTCAAAGGGTTTAATTTAAAAAAAAAATGAAAAATAAAATTTTATAAAAAATTTTAAAAAAAATATATTTGAAAAAAATAAAAAAAAATGAACTAAAAATATAAAAAAATTTAAATTCAAAAATAAATAATCAAATAATAATAAAAAAATAAAATATTAAATATTTGTTTTTATTTTTTTTTATTTCTTTTTCAAAATAGTTTTTCTTTTAATGCAAAAAAAAATATCAAAATTTTTTACATCCAATTTTTATGTGTATTTTTTTAAAATAAAAAAAATATTATTAGAAAAAAAAAAAAAATAAAAAAAAAAATAAACAAATAAATAAATCTAACTTCAAAAAAAATATATTCAGATTAATAATAATCAGATATATAATAAAAAAATTAAAATATTTGTTTTTATTTTTATTTATTTTTTTTTCAAAACAGTTTTGTAAAAAAAAATAGTATGATTTTACATGGCGTCATAAATTTTTGAAAATAAAATTTTTAATTACAAAAGTAAAATATTAAAATGTTCATATAAAAAAAAAATATTAACATGTCCACATTAAAATATGGTTAGTGTCCTATTTTTTGAAGAAAAAAATTATTTATCACACCAATTTATAATAGAAATAGATTTTTAAAATAGTTTGTAAAAATCCTATCATATAAAAAGTTGATCAGCGTCCCCTCCAAATACCTTAAAGAAAGTGTTAAAAACAGTGAGATTTAAATCACCACCCTCCAAATGCTCAATTTTGAAATTATCATTTTAATTTTTTTAAAAAAATACACTTTAAAAATATTTTGTAAAAAGGCAGCCTTAAAAAAACAGTGAGATTTTAATAACCACCCACTATTTGAAAAAAAAAAACAAAAAGACAAAACATTTTTATTTTTCTCACATAATTATACATGAAAAAAATTAATATTTTTTTTTCCATAACTCTTTCTTATAATATTTGATAAGATATTTTTGCTCTTTTTTTTAAAAATAAAATTATTTAATTCAAAAAATTTTTTTATTTTATTTTATTTTATTTCATTTTATTTTATTTTTTTTTATATTTTTATTTTTTCATGCATAATTTAATTCTTTTACAGATATAATTGTTTCACATGTAGCTTTCACATATAATTTATTTCTTTACAGATATAATTGTTTCGCATTTGATAACAAGTGGAAAGACCATCTAGCGTGGGTACCCTTTCATTTGACTAGATCGGAGGCTCGCCTACTAGCTAGGATAAGGATCTTTTGGCAACATTCATTATATTTCTAGAACCTTCTGATGCGTTTCAATTATGTCAAAAAGAAAATTGATTGTGACATTGAAGCCTTTGTAAAAAAAGATCCGCATTTCAAAGATACTTTCTTTTATACCTTCTTGACCGATCAAACAAAAACATTACTCACTGGAAAAGGTGATTGGTCCGAATCATCGCTTAGTTTTCTTGCAACACTCAAACATCATTGTGGATCAAAGATAGTTGGCCTTTTAACCGGTGCAAAACCCCTTCGTTATAGTTATGGTGGTATCCCTGTCCTTCAGAATCATCAATTGCACGTTTCAATAAAGAACCTAATTGTTTCTATGAGAATGAATTCATTTCTTGAATACTCTTAGAAATGACACTGACTCACCGAGTGCCGAAAAGAATAAACCATACTATGCAGGTGTTGCAATGGACGAAATTGATATTCTCAAAGGATTGTACAACGATGTCCATGGATCAAAATTAATTGGGCTTTGTAATGGATATGTCGATGATGAAAAAATTAAAGAAGAATGGTTTACTAAAGATTATATGTTTCTGCAAATCTAGCTAAAAAGGCTATTCAAATTTTTCTTCAAAGCTTGGATGGTAAAATGTGTTTCAATCTTGGCAAGTTTCCAACCAACGGCAAGAATATACTGGTAGCAATAATAGAAATCATTAATATTAATAGGTAGAAGGTTTAATATTTTTTTTATTTTTTAAATCACGGATGGTTACGATGTCAGCTCCACCTCCAAGATCACAAGCTATATTCAATGTCGCAATGCCAACATCAGAAAACAAACCAACTGCCGCTTTCTCGCCATCAAATAATACTCACCAAATTCATCACCAGTTATAAATTCATCCAAAAAAATAATCGTATCACAATAAATAATGAAAGTATAATAATAACAGATAATATTAATAATAATAATAATGATAACAGTAATAAATAATGGATTATTCTTTGTGATCTTTTGTTTTGGCTATGATTATGGAGCTGAAATTTTAAAGATTTAAAATAATACCACCAGTATTGATCAACACGTATAAACTATTTGTAAGATCAGAAATGACATCCATCAACAAACCACCTTTAAAACATTCTTTTAAAAAGAGAAGCAGATTCTAGCCTATTAAACAATATAAGCTAGTCTTCAAACTAATATAAATCACAAGTTCAGATACCATGGTTCAATTGTGCTACTCGTAGGGTTTAAACAATAATAAGGCAATAACCCACTTTTAGGCTATGTTTATATAATAATTTCAAACGTACTTATCACTCATTCAACTATTAAATACCTAATCATATCCTTCAATCAATATAAATATTTAAAAATAAACAATAAACAATCCTAATTAACAAATAATAATAATAATAATCATAATAATAATAATAATAATAATAATAATAATAATAATCATACTAATTATAAAAACAAAATAACAATATCTATAATAATAACAATAATTATTACAAAAACTATAACAATAATCAAAACAATCAAAATAAAGCGTTCCAACAACAATAATAATAATAATAGAAATAAAAATTACAATAACTATCAAAATAGTAGCGATAATGATGGTGATGGTTATAATAACAATGATAGCAAAAATTATAATAATACAAATAGTAATGGCGACAATAACAGTAACAATAATAGTGGCAACAGTAACAGTAGTAGTAATAATTATAATGGACCCAAATTAGGTAAATGCATTTAGCAATTTAATGAATATCACAAATTATCAAGAAAATCTTAGAAATGGTAATCAAGATGAAAACATATGGAAATTTTAATTGAAGATAAAATATAGCAATAATAATAATAAAAACAATTGCAACAATAACAAAAACAGTGTTCTCATGAATAAGCTTTTGTATAAAAATGAATAGCAACACAGTGTATAGCAAACATTCAAGAGATACTATTAAAGATGGGTCAAGTAAAAAGGCTAGTGAATGGTTAACATCATTAAAATTTCCCATAGAAATCATTTCAACTCTCAAAGTTTGTGTAATAGATGGAGGAACATTAGTTTTTATTTCTGACAGTTTACCAAATGATGTTTAATTAATTTCCTTAGGGTATGAATGCTATGGGCAAAAGATTAAAATTTAAAACCTTTTTAGAAAAGTTATTAGCTTCAAAATAAAGTCAATATCAACCTTTAGGTTATAGTAACAATAGTAATAAAATAAAAATAAAATATTTTAAATTTATAGCTTTGTTTTCAAATAATTATTTCTTTTTATTTGTTTCTTATTATTTTTTATGTTATTATTTATTTGTAGTTCTTTTAATTAACTCTTTTAAATTGAATGAGTCTCAAGTATTAAAAATAGAACCATTTAAAAATAGAACCACTTAAAAATAGAACTATATTATTATAATAATAATTGTTTTTTTTTTTTTTTTTTTTTTTTTTTTTTTTTTTTTTTGGGGAAAATTTGAGATTGGGGGATTAAAAAAAATTATAAAGGAGGAATTTGTCACGTTATATATAGCTTCATTAAATAACAATCAAATTTGGATAGTGGGTGGGTTTCTAAAGAAACAATAAAGAAAAAAAAAAGCAGATATGTGTGTTTTCATTATGCAAATGTGGGGTAGGTGTGTTTTATTTTTTATCAAACACACTCACATACCCATATTTGAAATAGATTTTACTTGTTTTTTAAAGATAATAATATAATTAATATTTTTTTTAATATTTTTAATATTTTTAATTATATATTTTGTTTTACCTTTAATTTTTTCCTTTTTATTTTGGGGGGAGTGCGTTTTTTTGTTCCTATAATATTGATAGAGATAGCAACACAAAAACTTAGTTACCCCTCCAACAAAGCAACTTTCTCCATATTACTTTTTTTTTTTAAACTAATAATCAATAACATAATTTTTCACTTCAATATTATAATAACAATAACCAAATATATTAAAAAATATATTAATATTAAATAAAAAATATATTAAATAAAAAATAAAAATTTTTTTTTTTTTTTTTTAAAAAAATGATTTAAACTTGTTTTATAATTATTATTCATTCATTAATTCAAAAAAAAAAAAAAAATAAAAGATGGAAGATCAAATTTTAACAAACAATAATAATATAAATGATATAGAGGAAGAAAGAATTTGGTAAGTAAAATTAATTATAATTTTTTATTTTTTAAAATATTAATACTAATTTAAATATATTTATTAAATTTAATAGCTTAAGATGTGAAGCTACCTCTAATGTATGGAGAAGGGGCCCAGAGTAAGTTTAACATAATTTATTTATTATTTTCAAAAATATTAATTTTTTTTTGTTTTTTTAGTGACTCTCTTTTATGTAATGCTTGTGGTTTGGAGTACAAAAAACTTTTGAAAATTTTCAATGGAATCCATGGTGAGAGTGAATATAATGCGGATATAGATCCATTTTCATTCACCACTTCGGTATTCATGGCAGGAGTATATTTTGAATTGTCTGACTTAAAATTAATCTTATTGGCATTTTTTAGTATCCCCATTGACAAAGAAAATGTATTTACTTTCAATAACAATGGAATCAAATTTATTACCGATGGAGATAGTTTTTCAATATATGACTGCTCAAATTGCCCCTTACACAATTAATTTTATGCAAAATAAAATTTTTTAAACTTTATATTTTCTAAAAAAAAATAAATAAACCCAAAGAAAATGATTATGTAAAAAGTTAAAACTATAATTTATTTTTTTTATAATTGAATTGTTAGTTTTCACATGTTGGTCATTTTTTACTGCTTTGCGGACTCAGTTATTTCTTTATAAGTAAAAAACTGATATAATAAGATTCAACCAAAAGATGTGTTCAATTCAATGATCTATAAATCAAAAATATGTATAGTAACAGGACTGATTTTTATCATAGATATATTTGTTAATTTGTTTGAACCGGTGACCTTCTTTTAATTATTTTATTAATTTTTTGTGATTTAATTAATATTTTCAAAGGAAATTGTGATCAACTTTTATAACTGGACTTGTTTATTTCCTTCAAATCCTACATGCTTAATGACCACTTGCTTAGCCAATAAAAAAACATTTAATATATTTAGAATATTTTTTAAATATAATATTAAAAAATAATTATTTTTTATTTTTTATTTTTTATTTTTTTTAATTTTTTTTTAATAATTTTTTCATTTTTTTTCTTCACAACCAAAATACCATTTATATATATTTGGTTTAGATAAATAATAAAAGTAATAATAATACATTGTTATAGTATTCACAATAATTTAATTTATAATATAAGGCTTATTTATTTTTTTAAAATTTTTAAAATTTTTTTTTTTATTTATATTTATTTTTTTATTTATTTATTTATTTATTTATTTAATCTTTTTTAATTTCTTTTTCGGTATTGTATTTGTTATAGTAATAACTCATTGAACGATGTCCAAAGAAAATAGTTGGAATTAATAATAAAGCTAATCTTTTGAGGGTGACATCCATAGTTGAGTGGATCCAATAGTTAATAATTAAAAGAGCAATTGATGAGACTGAAGCAATGAAACCCATTGTCCAAATGAAACCCATACCAGTTGGGAATTTGCCGAGATTGAAACCAACAACAAAGATACCAAGTAAAAAGATAGCAGCTGGTGATAAAACTAAAAGAGTGAACAAATTTGAAACTGATTGTGGTGGTCTTTTTTCTGGTTGTCTGAAAGCGTGTACAATTGGTTGGTTTTCAGTGTAACGAGAGGTTGGTTGGGTTTTTTGGGAGAATTTGAGATTAATTTCACCAAAATTCCATTGTAATGGAGTGATGGATTGGTCACCAACAATTAAATCCATTTGATAATTACCTGATTGATAACCTAAAAGTTTACCCATTTCTTTGTTTGTGAGAGTGTAACTGAATGATTCGGCACTATGAGTAACTGGGACAACGATTTCACGTGATGGTGAGTAGAAACGAATACCAACTTGTTGTGGAACAAATACTTGTTTGTCAGAGTTGATTCTAAAGAAGACTCTAGCGAGGTTGTTAGCTGGAATATCGACCAATGATAATTTTTTACCAAAGACGACATCTTGGCTATTCTTTGGTGAACCTAATTGGTCAGCTTTTGGAGCAAAAGAGAATTTCATATCGTCAACGGTGATTGAACCAGTGATGGTGATGACTTGAGTTGAGGTGATTTCGGCATAGTCTTCATTGTCGGTTGGAACAACTTTGAATTCGATATTGTATAAACCTAATTTAAGATTTTCATTGGAGACATCAATGGAATGTTTGTTACCGGTGGTAGTCATCTTCTTGTCGCTAAGAACTGGGGTGGAACGTGGAGCTTTGCTGCTAACAATTTTGTTTACATTGACGGTGGCTGGAATGTTTTGACCAAAGATGTCGGTAACAAAAGCATCAACGGTGGCTAAATTGCTTGGTGAAAAGATTGATTTTTCAAGGGTTAAGGATAATGGTTGTGAAACAGAGTTCTTTTGACATTTCTTTAAACCAACGATTAAATAATAAGCGTTTGATAATGATTCAACATTCTTTTGTTTCAAGAGATACTCTGCGATTTGATTAACTTGTTTGGCACTAACGAAATCGGCTACTTTTTCATTGATACTAGCTAATGATAACATTGAGTGGAAAAGTGAAGCGGTAGTTTGGAGATCAGTAAAGTAAAGAGTATCGGTGGTTTCTTCGGCGTTGGCAATGACGGTATCCATCTTATGAACAACTTTGGCAACTTGCTTATCGACTTCTTGGTTATCTAAACGATGTGATAAACGAGCGAGTGCAAAATAGGCAGCAGCGGTATTTAAAAGAGTACCTTCGCTATCGGATTCGGTGCTCTTAAAGGTACCTTCGTCTTCGACCATTAATGAAACAATACGCTTGACAGATGAGGTTAAATCAAAATCATCATTTGTAACGAGTTTGGCAGATTGAAGTGTGAAAACAATATTGACTGCTTGGGTAGTCTCTAAAAGATCACCATTTTGTAATTTGCTCTTTAAAGTTTCTTGAATCTTTTTGGAGGCACTGCTGATTTCTTCAATACATTTTAATTCTGATAAAATAGTGACACCATTGTAAAGTAATTCAATATCACTAAATTTATTGGTTTCTAATTGCTCTTTGACTGTTGAACAAATAGTCTTTGCATCTGAAACACTTTCACCTAAACGGGTTAATGCACCAACTGCATAGAATGTATCTTTTAATTGTTGATTATCTGTGCCATATAGTTTACCTTGCTTTTGTGTTGAAATAAATCTATTTAAATTATTTATATCATTTTTACTATAAACACTGCTAATACCACGATTTGTAAAAGTTGGTGCTGAATAATTAATTGAAATTAAAATACTTAATAATAATAATAATAACAATTCTATATAGAAAAAAAATATTAAAGTTAGTATTTTTTATTATTTTATAATGAATTTTTATTTATCATGTTATTAATTTCTTTATTTGTGAAAAGATCTTACTCATTTTTTTCTATTGTACACTATATATTATTTATTATTATATTTTTAAATTAATTTTTGAAAAAAAAAAAAAAAAAAAAAAAAAAAAAAAAATGATTAAAAAAATTTTGTGAACTTTTAAAAAAAAAAAAAAAAAAATTTTAAAAAATTTATAAAAAAAAAATTAAAATTTTTTTTTTTTTTTTTTTATGATTGAAATAATATATATTTTTTTAGATCATTTATTAGTTTTTTTTAAAAAAATTATAATAAAAAAAAAAAAATAAATAAAATTTTTAAAATTTTTAATTCTTTATTTACATAAATTATAATAATAATAAAACTATTTTTAAAAAAATTTATAAGAAACATTTTTTTTAAGGTTAAATAATACATATTTTAAATCAAATAGGAAAATACTATAAGCTGTAATCCCTAAAATAGTTTTGATTATTATTGTCATTATTATTATCATGATTGGTTGTTGTTGTTGTTGTTGTTGCAGTGGTGGTATTTAAAACAATATTATTATTGAATTCGTTTCTGTTTTCTTTTGGGTATAAATCATTTTTAATATTTTTTAATTGAACAAGGATTTCTTCGACAGTTGGTCTTTCATCTGGAGATTCTTCAAGACAGTGAACAATTAATTTTTTCCATTTTGGAGTAGCTAAGGGACTAAGTTCTAATTGTAATAGTTTGTCTTGGGTTTCATTGCAATGGATTTTGGTGGTTATCAGTTCCCAAAGAATCATACCATAAGAAAAAACATCAGAGGCTTCGGTATATGGTTTACTTTGATAGACTTCTGGGGCCATGTGGGATATATTGCCTACTCTTGGAGTTGAACTTCCATTTTTAACTTTACTAACTCCAAAGTCTGATATTTTGAATTTACAGTGTCTAATATCCATTGAGTTACTATGTTTTAAATCAAGTGGAGTTTGGATTAAAACATTGGACGATGTTAGGTCTCTATGAAGAATTGAGGATTTATGCAAGTATAACAAAGGTAAAGCAATATCCATTGCAATCTTTACTGGGAACATTGGGTTTTCTTTGAAGGAGTTTAAAATATTGATTTGATTTAATAATTCTCTAAGAGTACCACCATTCATATATTCCATAACCATGGTTTTACTTTTCATGACTACACCGAGGAACTGGACAATATTTGGATGTCTGAGGTTATAGTTCATTGAAACTTCTTGTTCAAATAATTCTTGTTTATTTTTTCCTTTATAATCTTGATCGCGTGTTATAACTTTGGTAGCAACATCAATTCCTCTCCATTTAGCCTTTTTTACTTCACCAAAACCACCTCTAAAATCAATATTTTCTGGAAATGTAAGCTCTTTACTTTTTATTCTATAGTTGGAGTAGCATAACGGCAATATTGTATTTGTCTTTTTGCATGGATCATCTTGGGCTAATGGTATGGATAGTCTGGGTACTAGCGGCTTTGATTGTGGTGCATATGATGGTTTATTTTGGGTTAATAGTAATGGTTTAAATGATATGTGCCAAGGAAAAGGAGATGGGAACGATACTAGATATGATAGACGAGATGATTGTACCTCTGGGGGTGGTAAAAATAAATTTTGTTTATAAAGATAAGAAAAGATATCCTCTTCAATAAAATTTTTTTTATTAAAATTTAAATTATAGTACATAAAATGATTATTATTATTTACTAAGGTTATTGATGAAGTGTTATTTTGGTATTTATTAAAAGATGATCTTCTATTTTTTTTTTGTAAGAACAGATGTGATTTTACTATTTTTTTGATTTGTTCTAATGTTCTAATATTTCTTTTAATATCAATAATAAAATATTTATTTATTTTATTACTTTTTAATAATTTATTTTTTTCATAAATTAAAAAATCTATATATTTCGAAACATAATTTATAGTCTATTTTTTTAAACAAAATTAAGTAATTTTTAATATGAAACATTATTAATTTATGTGGGTAAGAATTATTATTATTATTTGGGTGAAAAAAAAAAAATAACATAATAAAAAAAAAAAAATAAAGGGTGAACCCAAAAAATTAAAAAAAAAAAATAAAAAAAAAAATAAAAAAAAATAAAAAAATAATAATTTTAAATCTTGGGAATAATAATATAAAAAGAAAGGTTTATTTATTTAGTGTATTTAAAGGTAATAATTATTTTTATTATTTTTATTTATTAATTTATTTTTTTAAATACTGAATTTTTTTTTTTTTTTCATTCAAAGAAGTGTGTTATTAATTTTAATATTGATGTATTTTTTTTACTTTTCGTGATCAAAATATTTCCCTATTAAAAAACTTTATTTTTAAAAAAAAAATAACTTGTTTAAATAAAGGTTGATTTATCATTAATAATTACTATTTTAGTTAAAATTAATAGTTGTTTATAAGGATAACAACCAATATTAGGAATAATAATAATGATGATCAATTGTTTTTTACTCTTTTAGAAATAAATAAATAAATTTTTTTAATTTTAAAACTATATAGGAACAACAATGAACACAATTCCACCAAATGTAACAACATTAAAAATACACGATCAATATTCGACCTAAATTCCTTCAGATATTGTAAATCCATTAACAATTGATTAGGTTTTAAATTAATAAGTATATCTTTTATATATATAAATAAAACTATTTTATTATAATTTGTTTTTTATTTATTTATTACTATTTATTATTATCAGTAGTTATTGTTGTTATTTTATTTATTTGGTGGTACTCTTTTTATCAACTCTATTATTAATTTTTGATTTGCTTTAATTAGATTTAAATGTAAAGGTTTTATTGAATGATTCAGACGGGATGGATCTTTGGTTTTATTTATTATTTTAATATGAATTGCTGAAGCATGTCTGATTTTTAAAACTGGTTCTAAATGATCTGTTAATATTGATCTAACGAATTTCTTTGGATGGTCTTGTTGGTGATAAAGCTAGATCCTGAATATCTTTTTGTAATTGAAGTGATAATTTAACTGCTAATGGAATTGCTGCACCTAATCCATGGGATATATAGTAATATTTCTTTTGCTCTGTAATAGATGTATATGTATTATTATATAAATATATTATATTATGTTTTATATTCTTTTTACAATCTATAGTTACTATTAGTTATTATAGCATCACTAAAATTTCTTCTTTTGTGGTCTTTGTACAACTCTTCTTAAATAAGTATCTATTTATAAATTTAATTTAAATATTTTATTAATATTTTTTTTTTTAATTATTAATTTTAGAAAATAATAATAGTATAATTACATTTTTCATTCTATTTTGATTACAAAAATATAAATATATATATTAATGAAATAGATGTGTGCTGATAGAATATAAAGGTATGCTTTACTATGACAATGATTTAATAAATTTATAAATAAATATTAAAAAATAAAAATAAAAAAAAAATTTTTAAAAAAAATTGAAATTTTTAATTTTTTTTGATTTTAAAATCATCAAATTTTAAAATTAAAATCAAAAATTTCATTGAACAAATATAAATAAAAAAAATATAAATACAAATTAAAAGTCTGGGTTTTTTTTTGGGGGGATCATCTCTTTTTTTTTTTTTTTTTTTTTTTTTTTTTTTTTTAAGGGGAGAACCTTTTTTTTTTTTTTTTTTTTTTTTTTTTTTTTTTATTTTTGGTTTTTTTCAAGGGGGGGTTTTTTTAAAAAAAATTTAGAAATGAAAATTTTTTTTTTTTTATATATAAAAAAAAAATTTTGTTTTTTAATTTTTTTTTGTCAAGACACGCCCTTGGTTTTTTTTTTTTGGTGTTTAGGGGGGGGGATTTTTTGGGGCCCCCTTTTTTTTTTTGGCCCCCCCCCCCCAACCAAAAAAACCAAATTTTTTGTTTTTTTTTAAAAATAAAAAAATTTAAAATTTAAAAACAAAATTTTTTTTTTTAAGGTTTACCCCCCAAATCCTTTGGAAAAACAATTGTTGAAAAAAAAAATTAAAAAATTTTTTGGTATGTAAAAAAAAAAATTAAAAAAAAAAAAAAAAATTTTTACATTAAATAAAAAATTTAAGAAAAATTAAAAAAAAAAAAAATTATAGAGACAAAACAATTAAAAATAATAATATGTTAATTTATAAAGAGATGAATTTCAAAACTATTATATTATAAAATACCAAAAAGACAAAATGATAAAAAAAA